TTATTTCAAGATTAGGAATATTCTCATAGATAGATGGTACCAAACATGAATGGTGATTTCCTTATCCAAAGATAACGTCACATGATTGTAAGGCTCAGTATAGTGATTAGGTAATTCAAGTATTTTAGGATACTCAATGCTGTTTTTTGCGAACCGGAGGGCAGGGAAGTATTTCAACTGCTAATATCACAGATTTGGAAATTACGCGTCTAAAGCTTATCATCATTAGGATGTCGTCGATACGACATAGGCTATTGGAAAAGCAAAGTGCTCGATCTGAAAGTTCATACAACCTCCTGGACATGTAATAGAAAAAAGTATTCTTGATTGTGTGGGCTGCTCGATGATCTGATAATTTTTGCATAGGTAAGTTATAATTTACGAAACGTTGGGCATCCTTCTGTCGTATGCTAGCAACGTTTTGTATAGTCTTAATCGAGCAAATAGTGTACTCAAAGTTGCTGGAAAGAATTTTGGTTATATCCATTGGAGATCCTTGAAAAATAATATAATAATACAAGTCCAAGTTAGGAGACTTCAGTAGTATTATGTAAAGAGAAATAAATGAAACTTGGCACCACTGCACGGATGACTTATCTACTGGTGTTTAGTTAATTTGAGTATTCTGGGGGACCGAATGCCGTTTTGTGATCTGAAGGGTATTCCGGTAGAGGACACATCTTACGGTTTTTAAAAGGTAGACCTATATAGCGGACTTTATATGAAAATCCGAAATGTTAATGTACAGTTTTTTGAGCTGATCCTGGATCAGTTTGCCTTTTTGTTGGATATACACGAATCAAATTTGATATATATTCGATATTTCTGGTAGGTGACTTATTGCTGGGAATTGAAAGGATTACCGATCCACATGGAGATGTAAATATATATATATATATATATATATATATATATATACGAGCCCCTTCCCACTTCAGTTGGCCCACTTCAAGAATATGCATTTATAAACTAAACATGACAAAACTATTTACTTCTAAAACAATTTATTTTCTCAAAAACATTTTAGATACACTCTAGTCGTAAAAAATACATATTTGAAATCACTTAGAACTATAACTAATAGAACATCTGAACAAATAAACAATGTGCGAATAAATGCGCGAAGTTAACAAAGCAACAATTGAAAGATTACCATTGGGTAAGATCACCTTTATTTTTTATTACGGCTGAAATTCTTTGGGGCATACTGTTAACCAAGTTTTGGCAAAAACTTTGTGTAAAACAATCCCACATTTCTTGAAGCTTTTGTCTCAGTTCGGTGATTGTACGAGCAGGGTGTTGTCGTAGAACCTTTTTCATCTCGTGCCACAAAAGTTCAATAGGTGACAGATCTGGACTGCTAGAAACCCATTTCAAAAGTGGTACATTATTTTCTTCCATCCATTTTATAGCCTTTTTTGAGGTATGGCACGCTGCGCCATCTTGCTGAAACACAAAATCATGGCCGGATGTCAAACATTCTTCCATCTCTGGTAAAAGCGATTCTTCTAAAATTGACAAATATTTGTTTGTATCCATATTTCAATCAATAAAATGAAGTTTTCCTACTCCTTTTGATGACATACTGCCCCAGACCATAATGGATGCTGGAAATTTCACTTTTCTCTTCAGACAGCCAACATGGAATGCTTCATTTTTCTTGCGAATAACTGTACTGCGACTGTCACCAACACAAACTTCGAATCGGGCCTCATCACTCCATTGTATTGCACACCATTGTTGAGGTGTCCATTGCCCATATAAGCCGATTTTTCTTTTGCATTGGAGTTAATAGTGGATTTTCTTTGGCCTATAAACAAGTTGTGCAACTTTAGGGTTTTTACTTCATTTTTTTTATAAGAAAACTTACCTTGCAAGTGCTAAATCCGAGTTTGTGGGCCTCTCTATGAGTTGTGGACCTCGAAATTCTCCTTCCAACAGGTCACTCCACAGAGCACTTAATTGTAAATAATTGGCACGCATGTTTTCCACGATTATTGTTCTTAATGCTCTTCGGTCGGTATTTGTGATATTACTTTGTTTCACATATCGTGGCTTAATATTAACTGAACCAGTTACGTTATATCGTCTAACAATATTTCTCACACTGTACCGCGATAAGTCTAACAAAGTTGCAAGTTCTGAGTTTGATTACCCAGAATTAAAAAATTTAATCATCAGTAACCGAATTTTCTCACTAATAACCTTTCCTCTGCCCATTTTGAAAACCTTAACTACCCAAAACTATTTTAAACGTATTCGGACAGCTGTGATTAATAGAAACAATTGTCATGGCTTTTATTTTTCACAGCCACCTATGCGTTATAGACTTATTTTGCATTGAAATGAAAATAGGTTGATTTGCTGTAATTGCAACATGTGTTATTTTTATGCTGCAAATTTGATTAGGGGGTGATAAAGTTGGTGTTTTCTACTATATATTATCAAAATATTCATTGTTAATATTTTAAACCTATAACACCCTGCTGCATTTTTATTATTTGTGTTTGATAAGAAAAAAACTAAGATTTCAATAGTTGGGCGAACTGAAGTGGGAAGGGGCTCGTATATACAGGGTGACTTCGAAGTTGAGTCATTTATTTTAACAGTGAGTAGATCTGATCAAAAGAAATGTTTTTTTCCTTTACCATTTTTCTGGTAAAATTAAAGTAACAAAGTTTGAGTACCGCCCTGTCTCAATGTGCTCGTGTTTGGCGACAACGGATATAATCCGTCGTATCGGTTCATCGCATCGGAAACAAAAAAGCGAAAGAATTTGGAACGAATTATTTCATTCATTTGTATACAGTCAGTGTCAGTGAATAGTTGTATCTGTTGCGTGGCTCAAACGAAATAAAAAATGGCACATGTTTATGCGGATCGGTTTCCCAATCGAGTGCAACCAACCCCCCGTGCCTTTGTTAATGTAGTACAACGGGCTCGTGAATCAGGTGACTTAAGACCTCACAGGGGACCTCACGATCAAATACAGGTCCGCACTGAAATACTTGTCGGGAGGATACTTTATAAAACAAGGTAAAAATTTTATTTTTATTTTTTTTTATTTTTACACACATATTTTGGTTTATATTCCTTCTACAATCATCTGAAAATTAATGACTCAACTTCAAAGTCACCCTGTATATATATATATGGAGCGGGTAAAGTTACTGCGTTAGGATTTTAGACGTTCAGTAAGCACATCATCAGCAATAAACACAGAGTTTTCCGGCCCAAACTAAACCAGTGACGTAGCTGAACCCCTGATAGGAAATATTTTCTTATAAAATGCCTTTGAATTTTCCATAAATTTTGTCCCCTAAGGAATTTTTGTCAGCTTCTGAAAACAACGTGAAGCTTCATAATGGAAACACTATACGGCATGCGAAGAAAGATATGGAACCTCAAAGCTCAAGCTCACTTAATCTGAAATACTGAAGAATTTTGAGAAAAAACTGTCGATAATTCCAGAAATAAAATGAGGATTTTACTCAAATAAAAGAACCTACCATGGGTAATACCAGAAGTATACTATGAAAACCAGTGGCGTGCATAGACATGTTTAATGAGTGCTAAGTTTCTACGGTACTGATTGAGGCTGACACGCATGTTATTCAATTAATGTTGTAATGAGATGTCATAGCTTCCTTCACATGTCATGTAGTGTTTCCAGTATCAAGCTTCACTAAGCTTCCAGAATAGGGGAGGCTAAACTTTTTCATAAGAATGGTTTAGGTTTTTACCTCAAATGTTCAAACCAAAATAAGGGATCTGACAAAAATTGCTTAAGAGACAAAATTTATGGAACATTGAATGGTATTTTATAGAATGCACCTCATTTTTTCCTATAATTTCTATGTAGATTTTCAGATCATTTCAATTTGTGGTTCCTGCAAGATTCTGTATTTATTTGAGTGATGCAAATCGTATATTATTCTAGGACATCGTTGACTGTACACGAACGGTGGCATGAGGGCAAGAAACCTTTCAAATGCGACGTGTGTAACAAAGACTTTGCTCAAAAAGGAAACTTATTGGAACATAAACGAACTCATACTGGGGAAAAGCCTTTTTGCTGTGATATGTGCGGAAGAAAATTCACTACTTCCTCGCAGTTTAATTTCCACCGAATGAGACACACAGGTATAAAAGACCAATTTTTATGTGTTCAATGCATGACCACAATACACACTGATTTGTATGTGTCAATTCGGAAAAAACAACAAACTTTGTCGCACGAGTCATTACTTGCAAGGAATTTTAGCAGATTGGAACGCAAGCTATTATTTTTAGAAAATTTATAATTGTTTCATAAGCATACAAGATTTTTTGTTTTCAGGTGTTAGGCCTTGGGGTTGTTCTTATTGCCATAGGAACTTTTTAACTAAATCCTCATTGGAAACGCACGTTCGACGCCATTTTGATGAGAAACCAATACGTTGTCCACATTGTCCAATGAGTTTCGTCGATAAGAGTGGTATGATGCGACACAGGAGAGTACAACATTCCCAAGTAAGCAGTTCTTGAAAAGCACTCTAGGCTTTCAAAAAAATGCCAGAACATAATATGTTAAGCAAGAAAAATGAAATAGAAGTCGACTATCAATTGTTAAACTGTTAATTGATATCTTCCACCTGAAGATAACCAACCATATACTGTATTCTTTTCGTCCAGAAATGGTTCTGAAGGATACTACCGCCACCTATGAGACAGAAAAGAATTTAAAAATATACTTTGGAAAGAGTTAGTGTTTGCTTCTGTTACTTTTTCATAGGTGGCGCTAGGATCTTGAATCCCTTTTTGGCGCTTCTATAATGGGTATTTCAATTTGGTATCCTCAGATATCGATTAACATACTTCACTTGGAGAGACCCAAGTAGAATAAACATTAGAAATACCAAAAAGAGAGTGAATATTCTAGCGCCATCTAGGAGACAGTAGTAAAATTAAACAACCCTTTTCAAAGTATATTTCTAAATGCATTTTAGTGTTCTGCTACTGCCTCATAGATCTTTAGGAAGACCACTCGACGATTAAATCTATATAAGCCTGACGCGAAAAATCTATTGTTACTTATATTTTTTACAGGAACATCCACATATTTGCGTGCGCTGTGGTAAAAAGTTCAAAGATAGAAGTAACTTTTTGAAACATACAAGAATACACGACAGGAAAGACAAGCTTGCAGATGGAAACCCATTGCGTGAAACTGTTCAAGGGGATGACAGATGTATAGAGAATGACACCAAAACTAGGGAAATCCCAAATTCTATAAACACTGATCATAGAAATGGTGAGTTCTTTGACTATATTCTCTTGGAAAACCCTAAAAAATCGTTGCCTCTGATTTTCCGTTACACGGTAACAGATGTTTAAAGTTTCTATTTGCGTTTAGCATTATCGTATTCAACCTGAAGATATGTACTATATTCCGGCGTCCCGAAACATCGTGGTGACATCTATGAGACCAGAAGAACACAAAAATACATTTAGAAATCTACATTAAAAAAGTGTTTATTGAATTAATTATGCTCCGAATAGAGTAGAGTTGCTCACCTTTCATTCGTGGTCCACCGAGACCAGGCTGAAGAGTTGCTAAATAATATGAAACAGCTGTCCATAGTTGACCGTCTGTGGTCGGACGAACGAAAAGTTAGTATTTCTACTACAGTCTCTATACGGCGCTAGGATCGACAATTCTTTTTTTTTTTCGCCTCTAACGTCTATTTCAATTGGATAGATATTAATTAACGTATTCCACCTGAAGATAGTCAATTAAAACAGGCATTAGAAAGAGTGATTGAAGGTCCTAGCGCCGTCTTTGAGACAGTAGCAGAACCAAACACTACCTTTTTTCATAATGGATTTTTAAATTCATTTTAGTGTTATACACCGGACTCATTGATGGCGCTAGGTTTCTTATCAAATTTCTGGCACTGAAATACAGCATATAGGCTTATGTTCAGATAAATACCACTTTTTTGACATTCGAGAAACTTCACCTATTTTGTACCAGTGATCGTCTGGATCAAGTTTATGGCACAAAGTTGACATGACTCATTTTTTCTAGCTTCGGTTCTCCGAATAACACAAGTAGTAGATGAGCAAGGCCTCCCTATAAGTATCAAGACGCAGGATGGCCTGTCAATACCGATTGTTACAGGCAATGATGGAAATCGCGTTCACGGACTTTTGCCAGATGGTACACTGGTACCGATAGAACTGAACGATTTGGAGGATAAGAACATAGAGGTATGACTTTTAGCAACTTTGCAACTGGCAGGCACTTTAAAATTCTATGTATGAGTGTCCATCAGCTTTGGTCAATAGTAACTTGATGTTTTATCAGTATTTGGCATACACTTGGAACTTAGATTAATTTGATTTCCAGGAAATTGTGATCAATAACTCTGAAGAACCCACCCTTGAAGGTCCAATCAGCATTCTTACAGGAGATCTGGACCAACAACCACTAAATACCAATATTCAACTGATGACCAATGAACATGGTCAAGAAATGTGCTTCTTAACATATTCTGTAGACAATGTGGCAACTAATGAAATCAACCAGCCCTTGACACTAGAGTCTTTTTTGTCTACTAGTAATAGAAATAAATAAGATAGAGGTTATATTTGTTGTAATGCTGAATGAGATATGTAAGACCAAAATAAAGACTACACATTTTATCAAGTTATTTTAATGTGTAAAATGCAAAAAAGATAATTTCTGCTTGATAACATGACAACTTGGATATTTTTTGTATGATCTATTACAATACGTCTTTTTTTGACATTCAGACAATTTCAATTTTTTTACTATAAACATTGCAAAAAGTGGTTTAAACTAGAAGAAGGACTTTTCTTATTAGTGTCTTTCAACAATGACCCTAACTTGCTTAAATTTTTCTTCTTTTTCTTTGCTTCCTTTGTTTCAATCATTTTTTTATTGAGTTTCTTTTTTATCTTACCCTTCAGTACATTCTTCTTAATTGGAGGTAACCTGGGTGAATCTTTTAATATAGACCTTTTACTGATGATACTCTTATGACTATTTTTAGGTGTTGAAGATGAGCTTTTTTGAAGCACAGATTTTTTACTTCTGGAAGTGTTAGTAATATTAACTTTTTTAGGAGTTTTGGCAAAACTATCCTCGATGACAATAACAGACTTATTCTGACTGGATTCCCTAATACTGTCATCTAGAACAATGACAGAATCTTGTCTCTTGGACACAAAGTTTCGCAGTACCTCTTGATTCAAACCTGCTGACTTATCTTTTCGTTTCTTCTTTTTCTTTGGAGTGATAAGTGAAATTGTCTTCTCCTTTACTGGTTTCTGCAGTTGAATAGAGGCTTGTTTATCACAAAATTTGCACTTTATAATCTGCAAAGTAGGAAACATTTATTAGATTGCCAAAAGATACTCTATTAATGCACTTATGGCTTTTAACTCTATTGTACTTACCAACATGTTTCCCTCATGATACTTGAATTTCTTAAAAAATCTTCTTTGATATGCTGTCAATGGTTTACCTTTCTGTTCTTTTGACTTTATTTTTCTAGCAAACCTTTGCAGTTTCTGGGCTTTTTTTATACTGTACTTTGCTGGTCCATCTTGAAAATTTAGCAAGCACCTTTGGCATTTTACTGATGCCTTTGTCATATTAGGTGGTAGGAGGATACCTGTTCTTAGTTCCATCAGCCTGCTTTTTGTGCTGTAACAATATTGAGATAGTTTATCAAAATTAATTCAACCTGTGTGAAATTAGTCAATTCATCCAGGCATTCACCAGCCATTTTGTGTACCAACTACTAACTTGTTAATGACTGAATCATATTTTTAGCTGATGCCTAGCATCAGACCGTTTTAAAAAGTTTAGTTTCAGAAACATTTGGAAAGAGGTAGGCAGATTTTCAAAGAAGCTAACAGCATTGTTGAAGAAAATAGAATACATCATTTATATACCGTATTTTACGAGTATCCATCATGCTTTGACATCCACTGAGGTAAACAGCTGATTAGCAAGAGACATTTTAGTGTTAGTCTGCAACATTGGCGATAACGAATCTGGTGTAAATCTACCAAAACTTGTTTGTAGCATTTTGTTTTTTGTATGCAAATGACCTTTTCTAAATAAAAGAGCTTTTAGCAAGTACTAAATGAATCTGTAGCTCACAAAAAACCAAAACAAGATATGGCTATGTCTACCTGGCACTGATAGATCTATCAGAATGTTTCCTTTGCTGATATGGGAAATTTTGAAATATTAATGGATAATCAGCTGTCATTCTACTGTAATGGATACTCGTAAAAAATGTAGGCGTAGAAATGATTATTTTTTCCTACCTGACATACAGGTGGTTTATACCCCCCAGAAAATTGGCTGCTAACTTCAGGCAAATGCCTGGATGAATTGTCTGCTAACATCACACCAGTCATTATTTAAGTTTATGGAATAATATTGCATGAAAAACCCCATCACCAATACAAAACATTACCAGATCACAGAATAACCCACTGAAAGGGAAATATTTGGAATTCGAGGTTAGCCTTCAAAAATATCAGGATGGTATTAAACATATAGCAAACTTTGCTAATACTTACTTGAAAATTGTCTTTAGAGCGGGTACTTTCAGAAAGGATGAAATTCGGTGTAGATATTCAATAGAGTTTTGAAATATTTTTCGTTCATCTGGAACATTCGAGTCTTCGTTGGGCTCCATTTTTCACTGCAAAATAAATTCACACACACGTTAGCAATTATTAGCTAATTTAAAAGAAGTCTAGTTAACGGAACTGAAAGTGTAATTTAAATTCTGGGTAGAAAAGAGAAAATTCAAAATTTTACAACTTTAGAAGTTCGACGTGACGTTTGACCTTGACGTCTTGCTTTCAGTTGATACTAGGTTGTCAAATAATACATAAATATCAAAATTCTGTGAAATGATCCAATAACAAACGAGAAGAAAACTAGAATTACCATACAACTTTATTCATTTACCAACAATTCTTTTTCTGCAGTCGCCAAGAAAATATGTTTTATCATTTTGTATTGTCAATCCTTGTTTGTTTTTAAATTACACGCCACACTCCTCTGTAGGTATATCGTGACTAACTGCTATAACACTTGGGTCTGTGCGACTGGCAACAGCGCCCAGATGATTTCTGTCATTGATCTGTCACCGTCATCCTGAAGGGTGACTGTCATTTTATCAACAAATTCACAATATAAAAATCACAACTCAGTTTTCATAATTTCTCTTAAAAAATGGGTAAGTTTGTTCTTATAACTGTATAAATGTGTAAGTACTGCAACATACTGTTTATTTAGCGTTCAAGATGGATTACAGTTTTGAGGGGGACTCAAAAACCCGACCAGAACAAAATTTGTCAGGTGCAAGCAAAAAGATCACCAGAGACGTACTTTTACAAAAGACATACGAAGAAAGGAGAAAGAGACAGGTAGGTGCTTAGCAGTACCCAAATATCGACTCTAAATATTTCTATCGGCTTAAGAAACCACATTAATAAATTATATAGATTTGCTTAGAATACCATGTTTTTTGTTGTACCCTTCACAAAACAGATCATTGTATATTTCCAGAATATTAGGCCTCAAATATTATTATATAATTAGTACTTGCTATTTCACATATAGTCAGGCATTATGTTGACAAATAATAGTCTAATGGCTTTTTATGTTTTAAATAAAATTTTTCTGCATCATACATTTATGTTCAGAAGATCATTGTGTTATTTTAGGAACAGAGAGTGAAATTACAAAGTGCACAACTACTGCAGTCACACATTCGCAGCTATCTTGTCAGGAAGCATAGTAAACAAGAACAGCGACAACATTATGATTGTATTGGAAATTCTACTATGATCAAAGAAGCATTATCAAGATTACTTTTTTTTTACCACCCTTCAGAGGATAAACAAAGAATGGTGAAGTATAATAGCACAGTTATATTAGGATGTGTTTCTGGAGTTATTTTTTTTACGATAATAAAAACTCAATTTTAGATGAACATGATGGATAAATTCAATAGTAACCATACAGAAATTTTGAAACAAATAGAACACGATCAGTCATTAATGTGGTTGGTGAAAAGATTTTTGGCAGTATGTCTAAAAAATTTGATGATCTATAACAACATTGAAAAGGATGCCTTTATTTCTGTATTGAATAAGTTTTCTAATAACCCAAACACAGTAGAGTATCTACTTACAAAAGGTGAGCATCTAATCCTTTTTTCTCTCATTCAGAATTCTGCACAAATGTTTTTAGGTTATTATGGATACCTGAGAAGCTATCTTGAATACACAAAGGACCAAGCATTATCAGAAGCAGTAGAACTGATACACAGACCTTTTGTCTACATTAACAGCAATTCATCACTGAATGATTTAGCTTTATCAGAGTTTTGCAAACATTTCTTAAAATCATCTGTTACTCCAAATTTGAAGATATTGATATCACATATTCGTAGTAAAAGTGATTTTCCATTTAACAGAATATTGAAATATCTTAATAGTTGGTCCTTCATAGAGGGAGGGAATAGTTTGTTGTATTGTGTGCTGACTTTGGAACCTGACAGCTATGGTAAGTATAGAGTCAAGTTTTAAAATTTTCAGTCTTACAAAAAAGTGTGCAAGAATAATATTTTGTAAACGTTCAATCTGTAATTCTATTGTCAGGATTTATGATGCATTAATAATAATATTGATTGCCATCTTTATTCACTACAAATACATAAAAATATTGTTATGCTTATGGAGAACTTATTTAATGAAATAAACCTATTTGTAACAGATGACAGTAGTATGGAGAGATACAACAAAATTTTCAAATACAATACAATGAAGTAATAAAACAATATTCCTTTAAAACAATGAGGTATTCCAACTAAAACTTATATATTATGATGCATATAACACCTCCCATACTGCAGTCAAGTGAATGATGAATTTGACATGAGCAAACTAATTTTGTGGTGAAATACCAAATAGGAATATTGTTTGTAAATTTTTGATATCATATACAATAGCAGCATTAACATATATGAAAAATTACATTCAAATAATGATGCACTTGGAATATAAAAAACTTGCGATGTTGTGTGGAGTAACCATGCTCCCTTTCCATGGTCTAGTTATAACAAAATAAATATTAATAAATATTAAATGCTTCCAGAACCAAATTATGACAGTGTCCAAGTCTTATCAAAGCTTAGCATGAAATTGCATAACCTCAGACCTGCTGAGCACCATGAAAATGAAGACAGTGATGATGAGGAGGAAATGGAACAAGATTGGGAATTGTCTGATTACTTAATAATGTTCAATAAACCTGACAGAGTGAGAAAACTGCTGCATTTCTTGCATAGAAACAGCACTGATCAAGTTTTGACATCTTTCACACAGCTTTGTCATAATTTGTTGTTGGTCTATAAGGATTCTATGAGAAAGTATTTGTAAGTTTAACGGAATACAACTATGAGTCATCTCGGACATATGTTAGACTGTTTTTTATCTTCGATCTTGAGAGGAAAACCTGAATAACAAAGAACTCCTCACATGAAACTAGAAGCAAGCTGACTGTTGCATTGATCAATGCATAATTATAGAAATTTTACAGTGTACAGTGTTGTCACAACACTTCCAGATACACTGAGACTCAGATTTTCTCTTCAACCTGGAAGGTTAAAAAATAGTGTAAACTCTGATAACACATACAGGGTGTTTCAGAAATCGAGCCAATATTTCTAGGCTAGAAGGTATATCCAAAAATAACAAAAACAGTCTCTACAAATATGGGTCCAAAGATGCTCTCCACTGAGGTACAGGGTGATGAAGTTTTATTTACAAAATTTAAGAAAAATATATATCTATGGATCATCAGCAATAAGCACTCTAAAGTTTCCCGGCCCAAACCGGACCAAACTAAACCAGGGACATAGAAACTGGGGTTACCTAGACCCCTATTAGGAAATATTTTCTGCGCCACTGGCATTTTATAAAACACCATACAATTTTCCATAAATTTTGTCCCTTAAGGAAGTTTTGCCACATCCTTTAGGTTTGAATATTTGAGGTAAAATCCTAAAATGTTATCATGAAAAGGCTTAGTCTCTTCTATTCTGAAAACACTGTGATGCTTAATATTGGAAGCAGTGTGCGGCATGCAAAAGAAGGTATGGAACCTCATTAGAAGAAAGCTATGGCACATTACAACATTAATTGAATAATATTCACTAAACCTTTTCTATGCACACCTCTAGTTTTCATGGTATACTTATCCTGGCATTAGGAGGTGGCCACTTTCAACACCTCCTTTAGCTTGGATATTAAATTTATTCAGCATTATTTTTTATTAGGTACCAGTGTTATGCCCTCAAATTTAGAAATAGCCAGTGTAACTTGTATCATATGTAAAGTTTATTGTTGTCGTGTTTAATTCTTATTAGCTTTATTTAATTTGAAATAGACGTTTTCTTTGTTTTGAAGTTTCTTTATCTATAAGCAAAAATGAATATGCTGGCAAAACCAGTAGCATGCGCACAAAAGGTTTAATGAATAGTAAACTTCTACTGATTGAAGGTAAGGCACGCATATTATTCAATTCATGTTGTAATGAGGTAACATAGCTTTTTCCACATGCCATTTAGTGTTTACAATATCAAGCTTCACTGTGTTTTCTGAATAAGGGAGGCTAAACCTTTTCATATGAATGTTTTAGGATTGTACTTCAAATATTCAAACCTAAATATCTCCAAAACAAGTGAACTGAACTGACAAAAATTCCTTAAGAGACAAAATTTATAGAAAATGGAATGGTATAAAATACAGTTCTTTTATCCGAAAAGGCCAGTGGTGTAGAAAATATTACCTACTAGGGGTCCAGGTACACCAGTTTCTATGTCCCTGGTTTAGTTTGGTCCGGAAAATGCTGAGTGTTTATTGCTTATTATGTGTATCTTTATCTGCTCCGTAGGTATAATATTTTTTTCAAATTAGTAAATAAAACTTTATCACCATGTATCTCGGTAGGAGGGCATCTTTGGATCTATATTTATAAGGACTTTCTTGTTATTTTTGGATGTACTTTCTACCCTAGAAATATTGGCACGTTTTTCTGAAACGCTCTGTATAGGTACAGAGGGAAATGCTATCATGTGAAGTTTGAAATAGTGTAATTATATATTGAGAATAAATTGTTGTTTTTTTTTTCAGATTATTATATCGACTAGGATTGAGCGGCAAATTCATCAACATGTTATGGAAAAATATTTCCAATAATTTATGTGAGCAGCTAGAAATGAAGGGGGCATGCTTGAACTCATGGAGTGAGTGTCATACGACACTTTCTGTATTTTGTGATATGTTTACGTTTTTTATTGAAACTTTGACTGATAGAGGTTGGTACCACCAGTTGAAAGCCATTTACTTGGAAGTTTCAATGTGATATAATCAAGTAGCAAAATAAAAGAGAGTAGCATAACTTATTGTATGTCACTGCTAATGCAAAGACACATCTTGAAGAACAATGTGTTACTGTTTTTGATTTTAATACTTGATTATAGTGAGGGATAACGTCATTTATTCGTTTTCGTTTTTAGAAAATGTGGACCTGGGTGATGCGTTTCTACAAAATGACCTCTACAATATGTCCAAGTTATTGAAAAAAGTTGCAAAAGACTTGATTGAAGTCGCATTTCCGATGTGCAGATCAAGTACAGTATGTATATGAATTCTCTTTTTTGAAACAATTAATTTATTTGAACATCTCGTCAATACAACAAATTTTATTTTTTTAGATTACAGCAACGCCGGAAGTTCTACACCTGTACAAAACATGTTTAAATTGTGTAAGGGTGTTATATAATTTAGATACAAGAAAACATTTTTGTCCAGCAGGTTTCTGGACAGCCGAAAAAATTCATGTGTCACCAGATCTTTGTAGAAAAGATTATCTTTCAAGAACTATATTGCCATTTCACGGACTCGTATACGACGATAATGGTACGTTGTAACTATAGAATATTTATTATTAATACTTTAATTAAAGTCAGGTTTACACGAGTCTTTAATACTTATAGTCATAAGCATAACATAATCATAGTCACAGTTACAAGGGCAGGGCGTTTTGAAAGATGATGAAGCATTCAGAAAATAAATTTAAGGGATTCAACCTTACTTTTTGTTGTGCCTAATATAGGAAAAGAACGCGGCGCACAAAGTTGTTTTAAATAATTTATTGAGCAGTTAAACAATAAACAAAATAATAATGTTGTAACACCCTGTATAGTGCGGAAGCACAGAGTTCTACCAAAAGCGATTTACTTACACTGTTGGTGATATGTATTGAAAAATTATCTTGCCTAAATGCTTGTTGGCAAATGATAATTTTCATGACTCTGTAGTTTGACGTGTGACATTCGTGAAGTCAGATTAATGAAGCTTAACCACCCCTGAGCAAAATTCCTCCATATGCCAGGGGAATCAGGTAAGGTACGCATCAAACAATTATCGACAGAGCTACATTGTTTTGGGTTTTTTGTACGCTACAGATTCATGTTGTACTTGATAAAAGTTCATTTGCATACAAAAAACAAACCAATTTTTATAGATTTACACCCGATTAATTATTGCCAACGTCGCAGACTAACACAAAAATTACACTTTCTTATCAGCTGTTTACCTCAGTAGACGTCAAAGCGTGATGGATACTCGTGAAATAGGGTATAGTTGTCAAGTAGTAGGATAGGTGACAGTTTTGACATAAAGATTAGGTAAAATGACGTTTCAGTCATGAGCAAAATCAACTCTTATGCTTATGATTACGACTATGATTATTAAAAGGTTGTATAAACACGCCATAATTTAATACTTAATACTAATTAAATAGTCTGTTCTCCTCGGCGTTCACGGGGTTGCTTGGCATTTTGGTGGCGATGTGCGCAGGGGACTTGTCTGGTACATCCAAAATAACAGATAACTGCATGCTTGCTTGTCACTTTGTAATTTAATGATGGCTTCGCGGGATCTCGGCAAGAAGCAGAACCGTTCAGTCTTCAGTGTCTGTTGTTGCAATACACTTCTACATATAAAATATTAAATATATTGTCACTGTCACTTTTTTAACCGGTGCTTGGAAAAAGTCCACTGAGGTGGCCAAAACGTAAAAAGTCAAGCCTACATATGTTTTTTCATTCAATGGCCAGAAAACAAAACTCGGATATGTAGTATTAAATTTGTTGTAGTTTTAGCACCTTATCTTAAACTAATAGCTTAGACTGAACCTTTATTTTAGATGAAAGTCATCTTCCTCCTTTATCAACAATTGAACAAAGATCTTTAGCCATCCTGAAGAACATGCCATTCTTCATCACTTTCAATACAAGGGTGATGTTACTAAGGGATTTGTGTAGATATAGTGTTGATGATGATGATTATCAAAGGATACATACTATGTTCTCGAATGAGAGGGTAATAGTTATCAGAAGGACTCACCTGTATGAAGATGCTTTCAAAAAGATATCCAACAAAAGTGGTAAGATTCATGTTAATTTATGTTCGTCATTTCTAAAGATATGTCATCCTTCATTGAATAGCATTTTTGATATCATGCATGATGTGTTAGTCAAATAATCATGAAGTGAAACTTCTATTGTGGAGCAAAAGTCGATGAAGAAAATGGGTTGTTTCGTTGGAATCTCCTTGAGTTCTAGAGTCATGTTGACATCAGATTCGGAATATGTTCCATGGGTCGAATTTACCAAGGAACTAAGTATTCGTCCAGATCATTGAGTATTTTTCGTACTTCATTAAGTCAAACCTTACAGCAAATAACAGCTGACTGTCTAGTATCAAAATACTCCATATCGACAGGCGTCATAATTTTCACGGATTTGTCAAGACCAGGTCCGTACACCGAGTCGTATTTCGTTGAGCCTTTTCACTTCATATGCGAAAACTGAGGGAGTATTGTATGTTTTTTGGGTGTTGTATGAGTTGTACATCACGAAAAACTCATTTCGATCGGTCTGTCCGCTAAATTTATAACCGGCTATAACTTGAGATGTACCTCTCAGATTGAGTTGAAATTTTCACACAAGGTTACTGCTACGCCAAGGATGGAAATGATTTGTAGTTATTGAAAGGTGTTGGCGGAGAAAAAGACCGAATATTATATATTTATATGCTCCCAACCCCGGTAATGCTATGCAACTATTTGCCAAATTTCACATAATAGATTTACCCATATATTTCCGTTTAAAACTTAGAAGGATAGAGAAATGTTTGCGATCCGCGTACTCGAAAGGGACAACGTTGCCACGTGGTCGCTAACTACCAGTAGATCAGAGAACGAATGTCTATGGACTAATTGTTTGGGCCTTTTTGGCTGACTTAATATTTTTAATTTCTCTGTTCTACATGTCCGTAACTCAGTATTTTCTCAGAGGATTAAGTTGCGCCGAACTTAATCTTTTATGATCTGATGACGGCGTTGCGTAGGAAGTGCAGTCATCTCACTTGACGGCCTTTTTGTATGCTACGGATTCATGTCTTTTAACAGCGCTTTTATGCAGAAAAGTTCCTACGTACAAAAGAAAAAATATACGGAGCTTGCACGAAACGAAATATAACTCGTTGCAGAGTTGCCGCGCATATGTGGAAAGGGACAACGTTGCCACATGGTCGGTAGCCACCAGTAGATTAGGTAAAGAATGTCTGTGATCTAATTGTATGGGCCTGTTTGGCTGACTTAATACTTTTAATACAGTCATCTCACTTGAGGGCTTTTTTGTATGCTACGGATTCATGTTTTTTAAGAGCGCTTTCATGCAGTTCCTACGTACAAAAGAAAAATGATACAAGAAATATGTCTGTTTATGATCATTACCATACTTCAAGTCGGCAAACAACAAACCCTTAAGCATTTTTGTCTGTTAACCGTATCTACTTTCTGAATACGGTCCTGAATTCCATGTAAGCGTCATCATTCATTATTGCCAACAGTACAGACTTCAACACAAAGATGTCACTACTTAATTAGGTTTCACCTCAATAGAAGTCAAATCGCAATGAAGTTTTTTGCCGGAACCTCAAAATATAGCGTTTCTAAACAATATTTTTACTCCATTATCTAGTTGCAATAAAATATCCATCAACGTACGGTAAAATTTTTAGTATAGTTCGGATATATTGCTACACATGTTTGACATTTCCGACCTATCTTGGAAGTAATTACCCAAGTGCATCAAAATTATCGATAATTTTTCATGAACGCGTGTTGCCTAAAAACTGCATAAGTTTATTTTCATATTTTGGCGAAAGAGCCCTACTCCGAAGGAAAGGGTAAAATTATGAAGTTTAATTTGGACGCACGGGTGTAATTCGGTAGAATACTTCCGGAGTTGCAAGAATAAAAGTATGTGTTTTTGAAATTCGATATATAAGCATGTGAAGATGACAAATGCACAATTCATCAATCGTAAGTATAATACCTGCCTATAGGGAAATTTTCGATACCTATTAGGCAATTTTCCCTGAACATTTTCCGCTGTCAGCTAACGGGAAATTTTCGCTGTGATTTTGCGATTTGGTGACAATTTTTTATACATGAGGGAAATATTCGTAAAATGCTGTTAGATTGCTGAATTATTGGAATTCTATTTAATATAATGTAAGCATCTATGAGAATTTGTCACAGCTATGTCTGATCTATCCGCAGTAAGTAGGAATCGTTAATCGACTGCGGATTGTTTGAATAGTCTTTATCCCTGCGGAGTTCCCACAGAAAATATTAAGCGGGGTTAGATTGCATCATCTCATAAACCGGCGAACATACTATTACCAGAAATCACGCGAACATCAAGATAACATGTCTGTGGCAAAATCAATGTTTCGCTTACCGTATGATACGTGGACTTATCTTGTTAAAATAATATACTATTAAAGTGCACATTTATGTAACGTTTGCGTCAACATTTACCGTTCCGCCATTGTAATTTTCATGACAAAATAAAAGAACTGACGTAGTATATTTGCACAATTCTGATGCGTTCCTCTAGCGTAAAAAGATCATAAATAAATTCCCGTCTCTCTATATGACATGTGCGCAATATAAAAACACAGAACATCCTTTTTAGAACGAAAGGTCAGTGTAAAAAATTAGTCTATGTAAGTGACTCTATCTCTTGGAGGTGTATGTAACTATATAGGGCGAAAACGTTGGGTGTGTGTCTTAATTATTCTCAAAAGTACTCAACAAATAAATAACGTGTTTTAGTTGCTTATCAAAACTGTATTTGAGATTCTAAGGCAGGATGGAAGAATAGTATCTTCACTTTTCATAACTCCCTCATCTGCAGAAAATTCTTTCACAAATATAATCTTAGCTTTAATTGCCACATTGTTAGGTTAGTGGTTGCCTGTCTCGCTGCTACACATTATCATCTATTGACGAATCAATATTTGTCTGAACCATTCTAAAAATAATTCATTCATAAAATCAATGGGTTAATTATATATGAGGGTAGACAAGTACCTTAACTAAAAGTACTTATCGCATCGTCGAAGTTCGAAATTCTTGAAATTCCAAGCATAGTTGAAGTGAACTCAACATGACGCTTTCATCCGTCCGACCAAAAAGACAGCCAACCATGGAAAACTACTCCGTGCTTCTTGACTACTTATCAGCATGGCCTAGGCTTGCCTCAGGACCCACGAACGAAAGCATCGTAACTATCCTTTATCGAAATAAGACGCCATCTATCAGACCAGAATCGACCTTACGGAAAGCGCATAGCTGCTATTAGTTGGAACTGTTAGGGATCTCATCTCACGTTTAATAACCTGGTCACCACGTGACCCCTAGATGGTTGACGATTCTGGCTGTACAGTAGATATGGTACAATTGCCATTTCGCTTTGCGCTGTCTTATTCCTATAAACCGTACCTCCGGTATAGGCGATAGTTGTGATGCTTTCGTTCATTCGTCAAGAGACCAAACCTCGACCATGTCGATGAGTAGCAAAAAAGCACGAAAAAGCTACCTAGCTAGCTAGTTGGCTGACTTTTTGGTCGGACGGACGAAAACATCATGTTTAGTTTTATTCAGTGGCAAGTAGACTACATTGTTTTACAGCCAGAATCATCATCCATCTAGCGGCCACGTGGTAACTGAGCTATTAAGCGTGAACTGAGATCCCTAACAGTTCCAACTAATAACAGCTTTGCGCTTTCCACAGTGGTCGGTTCTGGTTTGATAGATGGCGCTTTGCTCCGTCTTATCACGTTTGAAGAGTCAACTTGTCAGGCACGCAAGACACGTAACAACATAACATGAAATGAGAAGTATATCCACCTGATGATAGCGCCATCTAGCGTGAGGTGTATGGTACTTTTATCTATGTCCATTTTAGTCCATTTAACCTTTTCCCCCTGTATAAAACGTCTTGAGTCAAGTGATGGAGGTAATCTTTTTTTGTGTGCAGAAGAAAAACATGATGGTATTCGTGTCTTCATGTGTTCGCCGCGGTGTTATAGATGCACGCACCGCGTCCCCTTCGCTCCTAAGCATGAGTTTTGCGACATTGTCTTTAATTACATCTTCTCCAATTAATGAGGAGCATTCGAGTCTGCGTTCCTGCCACTGCTGACAATGGAAAAAGGTATGTTCAGCATCATCGTAGTGTAATCTGCAGTACTTGCATGTAGGGCTGCCTACTATCTTGAAACGGTATAAGTAGGCTTGAAAAAATCTATGACCCGACAACATTTGGGTTACAAAGAAGTCTACTTCCTCATGAGATCTGTTACACCACTCTTGGATGTTCCTTATTAGTGTTTGTGTCCATCTTCCTGTTTCACTATTTTCCCACCGTGTCTGCCAATGTTCAAAAAGGTTCGCTTTTGGAGTGTCTTTGCTGACATTTGAGCATAGCTCCTCTCTTTGTCTTACTAATTGGGGGAATTCCTGAAATCACAGCTACAGCGTCAGCCGATACTGTCCTATAAGCACTACAAACCCTCAGTGCTATTTTCCTTATCACCGCATTTAGTCGCGAGTTCTGCCAGCAACCATAGCTTCGCACCACACTGGAGCCGCATACAGTATCACAGACTGTGCTACTGTGCTGAGAGCCCTCCTTTTGCTCGATCTAGGTCCTCCTGTCTGGACAGTGTCGAAACTATATTTTCGGCTTTAGCTGCGGTCTTGTTGACGTGATCTTTAAAAGTCAGCTTGCTATCTAACCACATACCTAGCTACTTTATGGAAGATTGCGGATGTCCTTGCCTTGTACGTTGAAGGTAACTGCCTCCAATTTCCTTCGGATTGTCAATAGTACTGCCTCCGTTTTCAGGTGCGAGCAGTAAACCTCTACTCTCCATCCATGCAGCAATTTCGTGTCGACAGCCCAATTTGTCTTAGCTACTATCTCCTGTTCGTCCCGTGGAATAACCTCCACAGCCACCACAGCCAAATCATCTGCATAGGCGACCGTTGTCATGTCTGGTTAATTCCAGTTCCATAACTCCATTATATAAAGCGTTCCACAACGTTCGGCCAACAATGGAACCCTATGGGACGGCTCCGTTTGTATCTCTACAGGTTTAAGTCGAATCCTTCTGTCCTGTAAGCAGTTGGCAATCAGTTGCAAAATATCTCAACTAATCCTTAGTCTACGGAGCTCACTGATAATGGCTTGTCTTGACGCTGAGTTACCCGCATTCTTGGCTTCAAGTGCTCACACGGCGCATATCCCTCTTTTGCGGTTTACCACCACCCACGACTGCCTCGCAAATTCTATGACCTTTTGTACGGCCTGTATGGTAGATCTTCCTGGCCTGAATCAATATTGTCTATTCGAGAGGGCATGTTTCTCTTCCAATTCCTGAAAGAGCCTGTTGTGCACCATATACTCTAATAATAAAACCGTAACGGGCCTGTGTGCGGAAGGTTCGTTGAGTGGCTTCCCTTGTTTAGGCAATAGGTCTAGATCTCCTTTTTTCCAAATACTCGTGTTTCAAACAACTTGTTCATGACCTGTCCGGCGCCTCTTGTACTGCCAGTTTAACGATTTTTCCAGGGATCGCATCTGGTCCTGGAGCCTTATTGGTCTTCTATTTACCGGCTGCCTGTATTAAATCCTGAAGGTCAACGGGAGTACTTCTGTAGACATCACGGTTTGGGTATTCTACTCTTGGTTGATCCGAAAAAAATGCCAAGCTTCATGTCCACATTTATCTCATGCTTCTGGGTGTAAACGCTCAAACGTTTTACCACTATTTGGTAACCTCTCCCCCATGTATCTTCATAAACCTCCTTTAATAGCTGATTCCAAGACTTCTTCTTCGAGATTTTAATGGCCCGTTTAAGGATTTTTCTTGCCTCTCGATATCTTCAGGTAAGCAATTCTCGAGCTGGTTCTGACAGGTTTCGCCTACTACATGCTTGCCTTTATTTGATACATTTATTTCTCACGGACGCGATTTCTTGAGTCTACCAGTAATTTTGATGCCTTTTCCGACCAGGCGCTCTTCTTGGAATTATCTTATTACACACTGATGTAAGTACTGCAACGAGATCTTCTGGAGGGTCGATGGTTCTCTCGAACCAAGGCCTTTAACTTGCTAGTAAACATCACGTCTAATTTCTTCAGCGACCATCCAGGCATACTTCTCTCTAGGCTTGTACTATCCTCTCTTCCGACATCGAACGAGGTGTAACAGTGACAGCTTAGACTTTCCTGCTCAAATATCTTATTACACACTGAGGTAAGTACTGCAACGAGATCTTCTGGCGGGTCGATGGTTCTCTCGAACCAAGGCCTTTAACTTGCTAGTAAACATCACGTCTAATTTCTTCAACGACCATCCAGGCATACTTCTCTCTAGGCTTGTACTATCCTCTCGTCCGACATCGAACGAGATGTAACAGTGACAGCTTAGACTTTGATGGTCAAAGACCTTCCAATTATACACCATTGGTGAACTCCCCTCCGTAGCTAAGGTCAGGTCTAAGATAGAAGTCGAGGAACCACGTCTGAAGGTAGGCTCGGTTCCCTCATTTATAACAATGAGGTCGAGTTCTGCTATCCAGCTTGACACCATATCACCTCTTCTATCCATATATGCCATTCCCCATTCGGACGCTTTAGAGTTCAAATCTTCGCAAATATTTGCTTCCTTTCTGGTACCAATTATTTTCTCCTTGGCACATCTACTCCCGTCGTTTACCCGCGCTCAGTGCAGCGAACCGAGTCATGGCGTATGAAAGAATTAGATATGCGGCACCCGCGCCTGAAGGTTATATAAGGATTCCTCTAAGTCACAAATATCCACGTTTGGAGAGAAGTAACAGCTGTATATCACCACGTCGCCTAAGTCGTCACACACGTAGCCTGTTCCATTCCCAACACTAGACTGCATCCTGTTGAGAGTCCGTGTACCAATCACCTGCTCCTGTTATGGCCTTATTGGGTTCTGTCACTATAAGAATATCTGCTTTCGAATCCACCGCAGTAGCAGCAAGCATCTCGTGAGCTGCTCTACCCCGATCTACATTTATCTGGAGAACTTTGAAGATGATAGCCCAAGAGTCTTCTCCCTTTTAGGGCATTTAGTGGCCATTGCTTGGTATTCTTCCATATTCCACAGTGGACAAAAAGCTATGGACTTACATGCCTTTGTGTGGTGCCCTGGTTTTACGCATTTCTTGCAAAGATCACGCCTGTCTGGCCCTTACATTCGCCCTCCTTGTGTCCGCAATCCCAACACTTACGACAGCTACCCCATCTAGCACGCTCCCGTACGAAACAGCTGACGAATCCGACTTTCATATATTTAAGGTTTATTAGTCTATTAGCAGCGTGACTCTCCATTATGACAGTCGCGTTTTGGTTTCCCATTTGTGCCGGTCTGATAGAGGAGACCTTGCAAATAGCGGGCCCCTCCTTCAGGGTATTTTTAATAGCGTCCGTGATTTCACCTTCTGTAGCCGCACCATCAAGCCCTATAAGATGAATGACAGTGGTTCTCGTGCGTTTGGGGGTAATCTGGAAAACAAGAAGGGTGCTAGTTAGGTTGGGGGCCAAGTTTGCCAATTACTGATCAGCTGTCCACGTTAATAGACGTCAAAATATGATAAATTTGCGAAGAATAACTATCTTTCTATCCAATCTGTTTTTTCCCAAGCGCTGTCTAGCGGGAGCAAGATTGAACATTGTTGCCATTGTAAAAGTTACTAAATTTAAATCTGGAATTATCAGTCATTTGGGACACCCTATGTATCGACAATGAATTGAACCAAGAAGCGCGTGCTCCAAACTTTGGGGTGTTTTTTTTTCTACCCCGCTATACGACGGCTATCACATTCAAGAAAAGATTCATACCCATCCATTCAAATTCACCCCGTTCCACGTCCATAATCAGTTCTTTATAGCAGAAATATTTCATTTGTGCGTATTCATATGCAGATTTGAAATACAGAATGAGAATTCAGTTCATAAACAACGTCGGCCTGGAAGAAGCTGGTATTGATGGCGGGGGCATCTTCAAAGAATTCATCAACGAAGTACTTAAGACTGCCTTTGACCCGAACAGGGGGTTCTTTCTGATGACAGCGGATAATATGCTCTACCCCAACCCCAATGTACATCTGATCGTCGAGAATTTCATGGAACATTACCATTTTGTTGGCAGGTTAGTGGGCAAGGTAAGTGATATCAGATCAGTTATTATAAATCGCACATTTACAACAAATACATGGTATACCGTAAAGTTCTGGCCGTTTTTAGGTTATTACAACATATTTTTGTCATACCTTGGATGAACATCAAAGAAAAACGTGATAATAATTGAGGGGCATAAAGTAGATCGAAAAATAACGCGAACCTTTCATACACACATAGGTCCTCAAATGCCTCCTTACCGAGATACAGAGTGTTGATACTACAATTTCGAAATCGAAAAAAGTTCTTCTGGGTGCGATGCCACTGACTTTTCGAAATCTATTGGATTTTTTAATGCGGTGTTCAATTTCATGAATCGCCTCCATTGAGAAATTTGTCAGACACACAACTACAGCATTGTCATAGTAAGGAGGTCCTATTCAGCAGAATAACGATATATTCCTGTTTTTTTTCGACCTTATTTCATTTTCAGCTAATTATAATTTTACAATGTTAATACTGAAGCCAGATTTTCATTTTTAGGCGATATTCGAAAATATTCTGGTGGACCTCCCTCTAGCAGAATTCTTCCTAGTAAAACTGTTAGTTGACAGAGCAAGTGCTCATTACTTGCAATCGTTGGACCCTGTCTTATACAGGAATCTGTTATACCTGAGGGACTACAGTGGTGATGTCAGTGATCTAGGATTAGATTTTTCTATAGTTAATAATGATTTAGGAAAGACTAGGGTAAGTAACTCTATGTATATACGCTAAATAATATCATTGATCAACATATTCTACCAGAAGATACCCAGTGGGGTACAATCTGAGCAGCTTTCAAGTGACCCAGTCGAACTAGGCTACGTTCTTAATTGTTGTACTTTGTACTACTCTGAAACAATTTTAGCGTTCGTAATTGATTGACGTACATGATACTTGCGTTCGAAATAGAACAACGTAATCCTTCTGAAACGTCAAAAGTGTGTGATTTTCTTCCAGAGTTCAAAACCTTGTGGAATAAGAGTTCTGTCACTTGTCATTCTCATGATTCATTGTTTGTTTATTTCATTTTGTTCTCAAAAACTCCTCAAAATTGGCAGAATATAAATTGTACATGATAAATGGTACCCTGTATCCCTAGGGTATCTTATAATAATTACAATGGTCGCAAAAAACGTGGTTAGAAATTAGTCGGCTGTCATTACATGACTCTGTTCTAAAAATAAAGTTTCACAGTATCTGAGAGTAAAATTTCATCTGTCAATCTACATTCCATTACTATGTACGGTATTACATTACCAAGTGACTTACAAACGCACCCCATCTCGGAGTAACTTAGTGGTACTGTTTATGTCAATAGACGTCAAAACATGCAAAATAGGTTACATTTCTGTCAATTCTTTCTTTTTCTCTACATCTACGTTTGACAGCTTTGACTCCCAACTTCTCAAGGGCCGCCTAACTGGAACAAAATCGGACTTCGCTGCCATTCATTTGAAAGCCGTACCCGCGCGAAAATAAGCATACGTACCGTGATGCCGCTAGCCATTTATGCTTGCAACTATACAGGGTGTCCAAAAAGTATGGACATACTCACATGTAGGAATTCAAGAAACAAGAGAAAACTTGAAATGCAAAAGTTTTAGGAAATTAAATCGCGCGGTAGCCTTGAATTTGAAGGTAATTTCAAGGGCAAGTTGATTTTTTGAAATGGGAACTAGTAAGCCAAGACAGGCTGGTGTCCGTCCTCAAGATCTCTTTTTTCACTTGCAAAGATTATCGGTCGCTTCAATCTAATCCACGAAAAGAGGTCATTTGACCTTGAAATAACCTCTAGGTGTGATTTTACCTCCGCTAATTAAACCTTCGAACATAAGATTTTTCTCCATTTCCCGCGTTGGGATGAAATTTGAGCTTGAATTAACCTTGAAATAACTTCCAGATGTAATTTTAGCCCCTGTAATATTAATACCGTGGGAAAAGAATTTTGATTTCCTAAAACTTTTGAATACAAAGTTTTTTTCTAGCACCCGTAGTTTCCGGGATATTTGGGCGAGTCCATACTTTTGGGAAACCCTGGATACCTGTCGACAAGCGTGTTTAGATCTCAGCGTCGCCACCTCTTTGTTGTCGCATGCTATGGGATTTCCTTTTCCCTCATTGAGAAATTCTGAGATTATGAAAGGAGGTGGACGGGTAATCCTTTCTTGGAAGATTGATGTCATATCTAAGGATAAACAATTTTATTTAAAAGGATGATTGAGTCTGTTACTATTACTCCTAAGAAAATGACTGTGATCCTACTTGCCAACGTAGCTGTAACAATGGAACTTGTAAGTGTACATCTAAATACAGCATATGACTTGGTATCTTCTTAGAGAATATGTTAATCAGCAATAAATAGATGATTTCGTTGATTGGTATTTTATCAATTAAACGTATCTGTTTTTTAGATAATGGAGCTAAAGCCCGATGGTGCAAACATTCCTGTAACGAACGAAAATTGCCTGGAATACATACAGAGGTTGGCGGACCTCAAACTAAACACACAATTAAAAAAGCAGTGTCAGGCGTTCAGAGAAGGTCTAAACAGTGTCGTTCCTTTGACATGGCTGAAAATGTTCAGTCCTAAAGAATTGCAAGTGATCATCAGTGGTGATAATCAAGAAATTGATATCAGTGATCTCAGCGCTCATACCGTATATGGAGGTAATAATTCTTCTAAAGGTTCTAATCTAAATATTAAATCAATGGCCTCAAAACTATGTTGACAGGGATACAGAAATCCTATTTGGAGTATTTTGTTGACAAAGAAAAAGCGTAACACTACGAGCCTCGCTAACGGCGATGGGATATCTTTACAGTCCTTTTCACGAGCATCCACCACGTTAAACGTCACAACAAATAACAGCCAATTTTCAAGTAACATGTCAAGATACCCCATATTGACAAGCGTTGCACGAATTTGTCAATCCTAGCTCTGTAGACAGAGTCGTATATTGTCGTGGTCTTTTGTACGCTACAGATTCGTAACTCCAAAATTCTGGTTAAACAAAGTGCTTTCGTTCGTCCGACCAAGAAAAGAACACAGCCAACCATGGACAGCTGTTTTGTGCTTCTTAGCAACTCATCAGCATGGTATAGGCTTGGTCTTTTATCTCTGGACGAACAAACGAAAGCATCACAATGATCCTCTATTCCAGAGGTACGGTTTAGCAGCAAGAGATAGCGCGAAGCGCGGACCAGAATCGACCACTGTGGATCGCGCGCATCTGCTATTAGTTGGACCTGTCATGGATCTTAGTTCGCGTATAATAGCTCTGCCGCCAGATGGCTGATGATTTGGGCTGAAAGTAGAAATGGTCTACTTGCCATTGTACAGGTTAAGCAAAAATGCTGCTACAAGCAAAATGGCTGCTAATGATCATGGCTTTATTTCAAGTGATGTAGGAATGAAACGAGATAAACAGTTTATGACCATGTTTGGTATAAACAGTTCTCAACACGGTCCTGAGCTTCACTCGATCCATTATTGCTAACAGTACGAACCTCAATACAAAGGTGTCACGTGCTGATCGAGTGTTCACCTCAGTAGACGTCAAAACTCAATGGATTCTTGAAAGATCATACCTATTTATCATATATTTTTTTGTGATATTCCAGGAGAATTCACCGCAGATCACCCAACGATCATACTATTTTGGACAGTAGTGCACAGGTTCACAGATATTCAGAAGAAACAGCTGTTAAAGTTCGTCACAAGTTGTTCAAGGCCCCCTTTACTGGGATTTAGGGTTAGTGCTGATATAAGATGGAGTACACAATTTTCAAATGATCTTGGACCACTATTAGTTCAAAAACATTTTCACATATTTTTACTCAGAAAGTTTAGATAATAGACGAAGTGAAATTTGAAATTCAATAAACAACATACCTCTTTTTCATTATAATAAAAAATATATTTATAGTAACAATCGATAATCGAAAATTGTTTTTCTTTATAGTTTCAATTCTACTGTAATAACTAACATAAAGCTACTTTTTTATTTGCAGGAATTGAATCCTCAATTTTGCATCTTATCATCTGGGACCGAAAATCGAATGCCCACAGCAAGTACCTGTTTGAATCTATTGAAGTTGCCCATAATAAGGGAGGAGGAAGTCCTGAGAAATAAACTTCTAGAAGCTATTGAACAACAAGCTGGTTTCGAATTATCATAAATGTTATATAAAGACGAAAATGTCAATTTATCGCGTGTAACCTTGAGTTCAACTGTTCTATTGTAATTTATGAAAAATGTGAATATATAAATTTTTCTTTTGTTAATAAATGTTTTATTTCAGTTGGGAATAGAATCAATGAAAAAACTATTTTTGGTTTTGTTTTTAATTCACAAATGCTATTTTGGTCAATTTTCACGACATATCTAAACTATCTCACGAGTGTCCATCACGTTTTGACGTCTACTGAGGTAAACAGATGATCAGCTAGTGACATATTTGTATCAGTCTGTAACGTTGGTAATAATAAATCGGGTGTAAATCTAGTAAAACTTGCTCGCAGCGTTTTTTGTATGCAAATGAACTTTTTTAAATAAAAGAGTTGTAAGCAAGTGCAAAATGAAACTGTAGCATACAAAAAACAAAATACGACACTGTCTATTTAACGTTGACGAATCCGTCAGTATTATGTGTCATTTGTCGATGTAGGGAATATAGAAATATTACTAGATAATCAGCTGTTATTCTACTGTAATGGATACACGTGAAAAAGACCTTCTGATTTTCACACATCAAGATGCGCATCTAGCTAAGTTAAATATTTGGCAACTTTGCTGGCGTTCTTTAACCTAGATTATTTTCGCTTTGGCTAAGTCTAGAGTGTGATGCCCCCAGACCCAGAGAGTCGACATCAATCTAAAAAAATCCATAGTTTTGGTGTCTAGTGAACATAAAGAGGGAGAACAATGTTGTCTAATCGCCTAAAAAATTGCTTTTTCTACAGCCAAGTAAAAAAATACCCGATTGAAATATGACATCTGCAATTAGTTGCAAACACTGATATCTTATATATTATATATACTATTAATTGTTGAAGCTACTGCGTTCTTTGGATGTATGCACGCGTATTCTCAGGATTTTCGTACAATATTTTGGAACTTTATAAACCATTAATAATAATCAATCCTATCTATCAAGTAATAGAACTAATCAAACTTCTCATTCCAATTTCTCGTAAATGTTGCTACTGATTACATTAATTATGTCTGACCACGGGATAAAGAACCAGATTACCCATTTCCCGTTTTTATATGCAGCTCTTTAATGCGTCAAAGTAAAATCGCATAGTACGCTTATGGTTCAGACCTATAAAAATAGCCAAACATCGGAGAATTTCGTAAATACCCGGCGACGTGGCATCGTCGCACCCACTTCTTTTGTACCCCTATTACCCCTCTCCAACCCACCCTTAACGCTAAACCAAAGCGGCCATGTAGGAAAGTTCACAGACGGTCGGTCACCCCTCTGTGGTGTGATGTACGAGGTTGAAGGAAGAGGGTTAGATTTAAGACCATTTTAGGGACAAAAGTGGAGTCTAATTATGGAAGAATCTGTATTTCCGCATATTTGCAGCGCTTTTTGCTCTTGATACTAAGTTAATGTGATGTTGGATCCTTTGGAACAGCAAATGTTACCACAACAGAGTTTTACCACTCGCCAAACTTGGTTATCAAACCCCCAACAAGCCAGTTCCGCTAAACTGTTATCATCTTCAGGGGAAGATTAAAACTAAAGTCTTAACCTAAATATAATCTAAGATACAGTACATTTGTCATGTGTAGCGGCATCACCAATCAAGCTCGTGATGACGCTACCTGTCGGAACGACACGCCGCAAGTACACGACACCTATAAATCACTAGGGCAGGCTGTTAGGAAGAGAACCTGTGTCAGACATTGCTTCTCTCATTCCAGTCCAGAGATTTTAGCAATGACGATGCAATATTATCTGTCATTTGTGCTCAATAGCGTTTTGGGTATGAAGAAAAACTGTTATCTTTGGTACAAGAGGATTCAAAATTCTAGATGAAAATGAAAAATTATTGGCCCAAATGTGGGGATGCAATTTGGATTCGGAATCGTATGAGTCGATAATATAATAATGATATTTATTTGCCAAAATACAAAAAATGGGCAAACAAATATGAAAAAAAAAACACAGAAGGCTGTGTGGGGATTGTACAATCATTCATATATGTGTAACAATTATTATTGTAAATTCTAAACAGTATTAATATAATTGAAATTTTTTAATTTTAGTTTTCCATATTATTATGTATAGTCATTCGCTGCTCAGTACAAACCCAGTCTTTCAATTTTCGTCTAATTTTTTTTCCAAAATTGGATATTAGAGGAGCCAATTCGAAATCGTGTGTTATGCTCGTGTTTATAGGATTTTTTCATTACAATACTTATGGTATAAGGTGGTGGCATGTATGAAATAAAGTTATCTTGTGTCAAGTATCCGTGTTTCCGGATATAAGTTGTTCGTCGGATTTAATCTTGGCTTATGGAAAATGGCTTTCAAAACAGTTTTTGTGCTATATCCAGGGCAGGTATATATGTCTTGCAGGCGGCAACCAGGTTGTGATACCATATATTATATGGGTTTCAACTAAGGCATAGTACAGGATTCGCAGATACCTTTCTGTTAGAATGTTAGCAAGCATTTTGAGTTTATAGGCGACATTTCTAATTTATAATTTTTTTGATAACATATTTAATATGGTTATCCCACCTTAAATGTGAGTCCATAAATATTCCAAGATATTTCAAAGTGTTAATTAACTCTATCGATTTTTGTTTTTTGGCCATGATAATTAACGAGTATATCATGTGTACAAAAATTGTACTTTTATTTTTAATAACAAAAGGATATTGCAATCAACCACATTAAACGCATTTACATACTAATTACATTTATAAACAAATTTTATATCACTTTAAATAAACTAGGATATTTTCAAATACCTCAAAGTCTGCACCAACAGGAGACCCCACATCCTATACATACATACAATATACAAGAAAAGCACATCAAGCCTATATTTTAAGCACATATTTGGTATAAATGCATCTATGACCTAAATACGGCTTCATAAATAAAATTTCAAAGTTCTTCCGTCATGTCGGCTATGACTCCCCTACACAGAGTAGGTATTTCATGGGATCAAGAAATATTCTAACCATGATTTGCGCCTGTTGCTGCATACTCCCGATCTTTCACGAATGAAAGGCAGAGTCCACGATTCAAATAAACATTTCAACTGTTTTAATTGGAATGTTTAATTGTTTTCGATTTTTTATTTATACAGAAGCAGCCGCGCAAGCAGAAGCCTAAATGCCAAGACGGCTGTTCTGAGGATCACAAAGAAATTTTGTTGATCCTATTTTTGAACTACCTAAGGTTAGTACAACTGGGAAAAGCTTCCTCTTGTAGATTGTTCCACAATCTCGACACCCTCGGCACAAAGGAGCGGTTTTATCGTCCAGTTCTGGATGTACGAAGTTCGACACGGTTAGGGTGGGAGCCCAAAGTCGGCGGGTCTGTCTGGCAGACACATTGCGCGGCGGCATCATGGAGGAGAACTCTGAAAAGCAAAGCTTGTTGCTGGAGCGGTAGAAGAGAGCTAGATCGCCGACGGCCCGCCCGTGCGAAAGGGTCGCGAGAATGTCTGTTAGAGAAGAGTCAGCGATCAGACGGGCAGCTCTCCTCTGGATAACATCGAGCATAAATAATGTAGTCGGGGCGGCAGCGCCCCTAACGTGTGAGCCATACTCGAGGCTAGGACTTATCTGGGCCCTGTATAGAGTGAGAAGATCAAAAGTACTTCTTAGCTTCCGCTATTGACGAGATGTGTTCGTACCAGGTCAAGTCCTCGATGATCTGGACTCCGACCAGACGAAATGAACGGCTTTTTGGCAGAACTCGGCCATCCATCGAAACCATAAGTGCTAGGACGCTTTTTGTTTCCAAGGTACAGTACTGTGTTTTAGAAGCATTAAATTGTACCATTTCTACATAAACTAAACTATCTAAACTAATTATACATTTTAGTAAAACAGGTACCTGGTTTGCTATTTCCAATTAAACTGCTTCCAGAAAATTCATTTTAATTAACCCGAATAATTTTGTTAATTTTCCAGAAAAAATGTTTAAATGACCGCGTTTCCTAGTGTGGTCTATATGAAGCTATAGATACTTCAGGAGCTTTGTAATGTTCTGCTCCATCACACTTCACTGGTCACGTACAGCAGGACTACAGTACAACAATAAAGACATTTTCTTCACATTGAGAGAACCAAAAAAGTAAAACCAATATTTTTCAGAATCCACCAGTCAAAGCAAATTGGCAATCTTACCCGACACTGACTGCTACCAGCCGGCAAGAGGTCACCTTAACCATACACCGCCACTGGATTCCTTTGTACCTCTACCGGCTTTGCACCGTAAACTACCCCACTTTCTACTTTCAGGGTGTACGTCGAACAATGGCTCTTATCTATTTACCTACTAGAAAAGGTGGTCTCGAAAGCTAAACATGTAGGTATAAGGAAGGTCGAATGGAAGAAATCCAGCGTATATACGCTACAAGCCAGGTTCAGGATAGTAGCAGCTGGCCCTATTCTTGAAAAATTCACCAGGAAAGTACAACTTTCTTCTATTTGTGAATTACCAATGTTACTAACAGAGGCATTGGGAGCGCTCAGCGTAAAGCCAAAGAGTAGTTATACAGGGTGGTCCATAAGTCCTTTGAAATTTCAAATTTGAATAAAATTTAACGGGTGAGCGTGAGCGGCGCGGGCGAGGTGGGGGCAGTATCTTCAGTGTCTGGGAATTCAGTCGCCATGGAGTGTTTCACTGGAGCGGATCGTGCTTTTTGTGTGCGCGCGTTTTATCAAAATAATGATTCGGCAACCATTGCGCGGCTTAAATATCGAGAACACCACAATTTACACAATTTTACAAAGTGTCCAACAGCTCAAACGATTAAGAACTGGGTTGCTAAGTTCGAAGAGACTGGTTCGACGTTAGATAAACAGCGGTGGGGTCGACCAAGGACAACTCGTATTGAAGAAAACATCAACATTGTGGCACAGTCTGTTCGTCAAAATCCTACCCAGTCTACTCGTAAGCGTTCCAGTGCACTAAACGTACCCAGAACATCTTTACAGCGGATTTTAAGGAAAGATTTACGTCTGCACGCTTACAAAATTCAGTTAGTGCAGGAATTAAAAGATAATGACGCTATTCAGAGACTAAACT